CGCTCACGTATACCTTATATATACGCATATATGTATATATATATATATATATATATATATATATATATATATATATATCAATAAAAAGAACCATTACGAGACCAAACAAACGTCGATGGACACACGCAATTTGTTAGTACGACCTATCCGAATACTTTAATTAAATATCGAAATTTTCGCTTTTAGAATGACGATATATATCTAACGGGCGGGCAGATAAAAATACGGATATACCAAATGGTAGGACGATCTTGTAAATCGATCGTAAAAGAAGTATACTGTTTCTCGCACAGTTTCGATCGTGAAACATCGACGATGTTTGAATAGTCGAGAAATGTTTGCCATTTCGAATTGAATAATCTTTCTGCGAAATTTGTTTGTTATCGAAATTATAAACACGAGGAAAATAACTCTTTGTTGTTTCTTTCTAAAAATAAAAGTTTTTACAATCGTGACGACATCGTATCGCAATTATCTTCAATAGAAAATTATCATTTCAGCAAAAAAGAAAGAAAAAAAAAATAGAAAAAAGAAAAAACAAATCATCCTTGTTATACCTGTCGTTTTAATGTTTTAAAAAAAAATATATATATATATGTATATGTATTATAGATATTTGAGTATATATGTATGTATGTGTGTGTGTGTGTTTTTCATATATTTATATTTCTTTTTCGCAAAGACTGACCAATAATCATTTTCTCATTCCTACACATACATACGTACACACACACACATTTATAAAGATAGATCTTGGAAAACATCAAGGTCCAATCAATTGCGATAAATTCTTCGTCTTTTGGTGTGAAATCTCAACGTCAAAAGCGAAGAAATGGTAGCTCGACATGCGATTTCCCCTAACATCGTCGAAATCATCCGTTCGTTCATTTTTCGAACTAGTGTTCTTTAACTACACACACCTACACACACCCCCACACAAACGCAAACATCCACTCGCTCACATAAACACACACAACGCGATCAGGATGAAACGAGAAGACCACAAAAATGTCATTCCAATAGAAAAGAAAATTTATCGAAGTTCGAACGTACGAGTATTACAAACCCGGTGATATAAAAATAATGATATATCTTAAAAAGGATAATCTAATTCCTTTCGATAAATTTTCAAGAGAAAAAGACAGCGAGAAAAAAAAAAAAAAAGAGGAACGAAAAAAAGAAGACGAAGAAGAAGAAGAAAAAAAAATTAAATCAAAAAGGTTAGCACTTTGAAGAAGTTAGCACTTTGTGGCTCGAAAAGACACTCTAAATGTTGAATTTTTAAGAATCATACTATATACGAGGACGATAAACCTATTTTAGCGGGCGGACAGATGTTCCAAGGGAAAAGATCGATCGATGACTCAGGAAAAATTCTCTGTTAGTAGATGGGTGATATAAATTCTTATATTTATATATGACACGTCAAACGTTTTCAAAGAATATAAATATGTGCAAGAGAAGATTGATTCTTCTTGACGAACAAAAGGACAATACCATATAACTGAAATAAAAGAAACATAGTAAATACTAGGACTACGATATGAAAATTAATACCAATGTATATATCCCATGTACATATATACATATGTGTGTGTGTGTAATCTCACATAGCAAAGATCTTCGTAGCAACTAATCACAAGAGTCGGGTGTTTTTGAGTATTAAGAGAAAAAAAAAAAAGAAGACAAATTATTATCAATTTTATACAAGTATTACAATACCATCATCATTCTATATTATTCCATTTTATAAATAAATAAATAAATATATATATATATATATATACATATCAATATATACATATTTATATATGTATGTATGTCGCAAAAGTTACTTAATATAATAACACATGATATCCTCAGTGACCATTTTTTTTTTCTCTTTTACCTGCACTCTAGTTACATTACGTGACATTATGTACCTTTATATTATTACGTTACGATGTGTTACGATTCAATGTTTGACGTCTCCTTGGAAATAATAGAGGAGAGGAAAGGGAAGGGGTGAAGAGAGGAAAGGAAAGGAGGGAAGAGGAGAAGAGGGGAAAGGTAAGGGGAGAGGAGAGGGTCTCTTTGGTAAGAGTCTCGACCACGCAAACGAGTCGACTCAATTGCAAAATAACTCCAGAGTACTATTTGAAGTTAGAGAGACGTACACACGCCATATCTATTGGTTGTTTTAAACTCACAGATAACGTGTCTCAATGGTTCTCGAATAATGATGAAGAATAATATTGTAAGCGCAAAGTGTAATATACCAACGAACGATATGAAATTGATAAAAATTTTAAAGAAAATAAACGTGTCTACATACGTATATACATATGTAGGTGTATATATATATATATATATATATATATATATATATATACGTAGTACGTATTCGGTGGTAAAAATTGATTGACAGCCAATGACGCCATCGAACAACGCCTACGACAACATATTTTTGATATCGAATTTCACGAATTTATTTTCGATCGTTCAAAATTTGAAAAAAAAACTTCAAAACGAATAAAATCTCTCTTTAATGGGGGTTGTTTCGTTAAAGGTGAAAAACAGCGAGAGCTTTAGAGGACAATGCCGTTTCGTATACATATTGCCAATTAAAAGGTTCAATTAACAGAAATTATTAACTGGTTTTCGACGATCACCTCGAAACATTTCAACGATAATGATATTTCTCATTTTTTTCAACTCAAACGTGTAAGAACTTTTCATAAATATTATATATACAACAACAAAAAAATAAAAAAATAAAGGAATAGAATAAAATGAAATGAAAGATAATGAAAAAGGAAAGAAATTAAATAAAAGTGTGAAAAAATGAAAAAGAGTATGTATCATTGTTTTAAAGCTTTGAATTTATTGATTAGTAGTCAGTGGATGATAATAAAATACTATCTCGTACATTTTTGATCGGATAATTAAATTCAAAAGATAATTAATAATGGCAGAGTACGGCAAAGTGCATTTCATTATTTCATACTTTCGACGAAGGATAGAGTAATAGTCAGGAAATAAAATTTACCCTAGAAAAGTTGTATGTATTCTTCTTTTCTTTTTTCTTTCTTTTTTCTTTTTCAAAGAATTTCTAAGGTCGATTGAAATATATAACTGATTAACGAAACTCTATAGCATAACGATATTAAATAATCGAAGTAATTAACAAAACGGAAAATAAAATAACTGAACAAAAAATACACAGAGAAAAAGAAAAAATATAAAAAAATATATAAAGAAAGAAAAAAATATAAAAAGCAGAAAAAATATAAGAAAAAAAAAATTAGATGTTAAAAAATATGTATTTTCATTTTGGTCAGGTAAAAGAACGAAGCCACAACATGTTGAAATAATTTTACGTTTGATATTAAACAAAAAATAAATCTCGACGAATTTAAATACTATTTTGTAAAAGGATCTTCGTGTTATCTTGCGTAAATATAATATATATGTATATATATCGAGGAAATAGATCAGAAAGCTTTTTGAATAGAACGAAGAATAATCGAGTTACATATGATAAACTTACGTATACGTATCGATCGGACATAGTCACGTTTACTAATTATCAGAATTAACACGTGCAACGCGTGGTAGCTGAGGCATAGGCAGGAAAGAGCACATTAACTGATCAAAGACGAATTTGCTTTCGACGTTGACATTCCCTCAAACTACAAGACACATAGTCAACTTTTCCAAAGACAAATCGACAGCTTGATCAATTTTGGTAGACCACAAAGGACACAACGACGATGAAAAAGAGACCATGCTTGTGTTTATATGATATGGAATACGTTGACAAGGGTGTGGCCAATTCACGATACGTTTTAAAGAGAAATTACATATGAAACGAAAAACAAAACAAAAAGAAAAAGAAAAGAAAAAAAAAGGAAAAAAAAAAAAGAAAAAAGGGAAAAGAAAAATAATATAAAATTCATAACTCGTATAAATGCATCGAGTTCGCCAAGAAATTTTTTCTATGGCATCGCCTTAGTAAAAATCCTTTCAAATACATCATCGATTTTTCTCTCCTTGATGTGAGAAAACGATCGACCGATTACGACCGATATCTAATTTGCCGATATAAGCGAAAGAACAGTTCGAAAGTTAACTCTCTTAATAACAAAATTAATTTCATTGAGAAATTTTCTATGAAAATTTAATAGATTATTATTATTATTATTCTCGAAAATTCCCTAAGAAACTTTATCCGATACTTAGGTTTTAGATTTACTTTTGTTAATCCGAGATAAACGGACAGTTAGAATCCAAGTTAGATATATGTTATTTCATACCGTTGTATTTCGAGAAACCTTGAAATACGATGTTTCTGCTAACTATTGTTAACATCACTTTGACCACTACTACCGGTATGGTCACGAAATCTGTTGAGTTTGGTTATATAAACTTTCGACGGGATTCATCAAGGCAATTAATCGTTATTTCGATAATAATGCAATTGAAATTAATTTCATTAATTATTTTCTCTTACAATAAAGAATTTATGAAACCGTTTGACGGAGACAGACAGAGAGAGAGAGAGAGAGAGAGAGAGAGAGAGAGACTACGTTTTACTTCGTATACTTTGATAAAAAGAAAACAGAAAGCTACTTGCAATCCTTTGTAAAAGAATTTTCCTTATTTTCTAAGTGTACTTCATCGACAGCATAAGAAAATACGGCTTAAATACTCTACAGATTCTAAGTTTATTTTTTACACGAATCGCATAGAAATTGTTTTCATTTTGAAAAAAAAAAAAAAAAAAAAAAAATAAGAAGATATAGATTCCATAACGTGATATAACGCGAATATATATATATATATATATATATATATATATTCACATCACTCATATATATATATATATATAAGTAACTTTTCTAGCATCCTGGTTCGAAGAAAAACCAAGATCAAAATATTTTTCCATCAGTTCCAAACGTCCGTGTAAAAGAAACCAAGAAATTGATTCTTTTTTATTTTTATCTCATTTTTCTTTTTACCTTTACGATTCGCCATCCTTTTTTTCTCTTTTCTTATCTTTTTCTAGCTTATTCTCGATATACAATATTCTTTCTTCTTCTTCTTCTTCTTCTTCTTCTTCCTCTTCTTCTTCTTCTTTTTTCACCAAATATCCTTGAAAGCAATATGAAAAACCTCGTTCGATCTTTGTGTTTTATTTGTTTTTTTTTTTTCTCGAAAATTCTTCGACGTCTTTTGTTGTCAATGATAGATGAAAAGAATACAGAAGCAAAAAAAAAAAAAAAAGAGATGAAATGCGATAAGAGAAGAAAAAAACTTTTATCTAGAAGTCAATTCTCGCGCCAAGAAAAACACTCGCGTGACTTGCTATCAAATTTCAATATGGCGTCGCGATTTTCTAAGAACAACCAAAAGTCAGGCCAGTCATACGACCAATGCGTATTACTCAATTCGACTTTTGTATTGTCGAAATAAACGAAAAATATTTTCACTTGTTTGTAAGCAAATGTTTGCTTTGAAAACAGCGAACACGATTTTCTTCTTTTCTTCTTTTTCTTCTTCTTTTCGCTCTCGCTCTCGCTCTCGCTCTCTCTCTCTCTCTCTCTCTCTTTCTCTCTCTCGTTTTCTCGAACGTTCAAAAATAAAGCTTGAACTTTGAAAGTCGCATTTTCTTAGAAAAATCTATTATCCCACCTTTTTTTTTCACGAGCCACGCGAAAACCACGTGCTCTGTTTCCCACTCTTCTTGTCAATAACGAAAATACATTTTTTTTTTATTTTTTTCTTATTTCAACGTCTGAATCATATATCTACGGCGTATATATATATATGTATATATATGTATATATATGCATATATATATATATGTATATACATACACCCACATGCATACATATGCAAATTTGTATGCAATTTGAAGTTACGAAAACGTAATAGCAATGAATTATTTTCCCTATGAAAGTAGAATTTTTCCTTCGAATAAGAACAAGAGAATTCCCAATAAAATTTTGGCGCGCGCGTTTTAAGATCAACGGACACCTAACCTGCGAAGATCGTCAATTTTTTCCGGGGCATTTTCGAATGTTTCGAATAATACACACTCACTATACTAAACGAAATAAATTTAGTTCTTTATCACAAGAAATATTCTGCATATTCGTTTCTTCGTAATATCACTGTAATTCTTTTTCTATGGTCGATTGTTTCTCATCGGTCACGTATATTTCTCAATTCATATATCACTTAACTCGGTAACCATAAAAAGAAGGCGCCAAAAATCAATTCGAAAAATCGAAGATAACGAGAAAGAGGAAGAGGATTCACGTTGCTTCACCTTTACCTTGATTGCTATTGGATTGATTCGATTTTCAATGAAATAATGGATTTCACTGTATTGCGTTTGTCTCTTTGGACGGCTATATAAACAAGTAGAAAAGCGTTAGCGTTGAAACCCGCTAAAGTGCCGTACATGCATTTACCAATTCTCTTGATGTTCGCTTTCGCACATACGCGGAATACGCGTTTCTCGATCCACGCCGGAAAAGCTGTACGGTACGAAACAATTCAATTTACGAAACGAATACACATGTCCTCTCTCAAAGGAAAACGAGAGAATGAAAAGTTCAAACGAAGTGATCACTTTGAATCCGTACGATCGGTCAGTCCGTAATCACGCGCGACTCTTGACAAAGCGCCCTGCCGAAGCGCGAGTAACAACAAAAGACGAGCGAGACGAATCACGAGGGGTGGCGTCCCTCTCGACGATCGACGCGTCACCTAACGACCAACCCGCCGAACTACATGATCCTGCGAATCTTCGAAAAGGAGATAATAAGACATTTCTTATCGTACAAAAAAAAAATAATACAGGCATCCACTTTACCGACAATTGGCGAATTTACCGAAGTAAAGATATAATTTTAATTGGTTTACAAATTTGCTTTTCTTTTTCTTTTTTATTTTTGTTTATAAATCACTCGTATAATCGAAGTCTCGTTAAGAATCTATGTATATACTCTCTAATTTCTTACGAAAATATAGAAAAATAATATTCCCCCTATCTTAAAGTGGATTGTCTTTTGATCGTAACGTAATGATGAAGATTAAGAATAGAATGTACCCTATCATGGGAATGACTATTCTTAGGATGTTTTTCTACTACGAGAGGGAGAATCTCTTAAAAAGAGAAGGAAAATGTGATTATTAATAAACGTCTTACCGTAAATATTGCAAAACGGATATTAATATAAATAACTTGATAATAATTATCGAATAAAAATATGTTATTTTCCGTTATCAATGAATACGCCTTAACAAATGTCGATAAATCAGAGTTACAAACGTCGAGTACCCTAGAAATTGATAATACGTGAAATTACCTTTGTATCTTCGGCTGCTAAAATCTACGTCGATAAAATGAAAAAAGAAATGGAAATCGATAATAATGTTTATATCTTTTTCGATTTAATATTCTACTTGTACAAATATTATATTAAAAAAAAGAAAAAAAAATGAAGAAAAACAAAACAAAACAAAAAGAAAAATTAAAGAAATAAAAATATAGCTTGAAAATTCACCTAGAGAAGAAACATTTACTTTTAAAACTTTATTCTTGGAATGAATTTATGAAAAAAGAAAAAGTAAAAAAGAAAAAAAAAATATAAAATTACAACTATAAAAAAATAAAACAAACATCTAGAAAATAGGATTCACTCGTGAAACTTTACTTTCGGAATAAATTTATGAAAAAAAAAGGAAAAAAGGAAAAAAGGGGGAAAAAAAAAGAAAAAAGGAAAGAAAACAAAAGAAAAATAAAACAGAAAGAAACAAAGACTGTTCTCTTAATGAAGTCTCTACGACAAACAGTTAATAACATTTCTCCATAGCCAAATTAAAGTTTCATACTTTCTTAACATTACCCTAGTACATTCATATGCATGACATTAAACGTAAAAACTTAGGCAAAAGTCAAAACGTTTAATTTCTATAGAACTAAAGCTTAAACAAGGTCTGTTTCCAAACTACGCGGAAAAGGTCCTCTTCGCTTACAAATTAAACGAAAAGGTCGACTTCGTTAAATCACTTCGCTTCTCGAAACTCGGCCGAGCATCAATGAATCCGATCCTCGTTATTTCATTTTCTCCTTTTTGATTGTTATCGAATTGCTAGTAGGATTATCATCGTACGTAAACCGTGTAATTCGAATAACCAATATCGAAAATAGAGCTTGCAACAAATATTTTTCCGGTCATGTAGAAAGCTTCGGATAATTATCGTTATTAATTAGATATTTATTCGAGATACGATAACGAGCTCATGGCTAATCAGGATAATTTGAAAATTTTTGCTCGAGATTAAAAATTATCGGGGATCGGTGATCAGGGGAAGGGGATGGAGAGAGGGATGTAGGCAAAGAGATAAAAAAGAAAATAAATAAATAAAGGACGATAATAAAACAAAAAAGAAAAAAATAAAAAACAAAAAAAAAACTCACCTAATCGCTGGCCATTCTCCATCGGTCGTAGTCGTCGGTGCGGATGTACTTTTATTTGGTAAACTCAAGCGCGGCCCAATTCGAAGCGTCATAGGCCGTCGCCTTCGCAATGTATAATCTGAAAATATCGAATCGAAACGACGTTACAGTTTATTTACCGCTTTTTAAACTTAACTTTATCCGATAGACTTGATATCGTTAAATAGAAAAGAGTTTAAATGTTTTTACTTTTTATATCGTCAACGTCCATCTTCGTTCGTAGATCGAAGATCGAACGGTACGTTTAAAGAACTTTGAACGAAATATTAAAAAAAAAAAAAAAAAGGAAAAAAGAATTCTTACATTGAGGAGAAAATCGCAAAGATCTCATAGAGAAAAAAAGAAAAAAAGGAAAAAAAAATGATTTAAAAGAAAAAATCCAAATTCCGACATAGTCCTTTTCAAAGGATTTCTTTTCTAAGCATCAACGTGTCTTGCTTAAATCTTCCCATGCTTTCGTTCTCTTCCCTTTTCAAAAAATTTTACATGGACAGATCTTTTGCTAATGTATAAGAGTTAATTTAATTAAATTGTTCTTGGTATAAAGAACAAAAGAACTTCGTTGAAACGTCAACGAAGATTCTTAAAATTGCAAACCTTTGAAAAGCTAAACGTTATATTGAAAAGTAGTCGATTCTGTATTAAGAAATAACTTTGTAATTGCAACTCGCTTAATTAACGAGTTTCTCCGAAAGAATATACGATCTTTACTACCACGTACCCATTTACAATCGTTGTACGATTATAAATCTAACAGTAACAAGAAAGTTACTTTCTTATTTTAACACGTTGTTTGTACGTGCGAAAAAAAAGAAAAGGAAAGGAAAGAAAAAAGAAAAAGGAAAAGCGAAAAAAAGAACAAGAATGTTATAATTAAAATAAAATCGAACGCTTTCGAAGTTAAAGAGGCATAAGAAGAAGGTCAATACGTACGTACATATATCGTACTCGAGTATGGTCGTCCATTTTAAGAAAACGAGAACATTAAGAAATAATATTCTTCCAAATAGATCTTCTCAAAAAAAAGGACCACCGTTTTAAATCCAGAACTTACGTTTATGGAAATGGAAAACGAGAAATGCAAGATTATCGGAAAAATCTTACCGTTCGTGCAACAGAGAGAGTTGCGTCCTTGAAAGACATGGGGTGACAAATATTGAGGATGAGGATGCGTAGGAGTCGCCGGGGTAGTCCTGCTGGGAGCCGGCGACGCCATCCAGGGTGGTGCAACATCCCTTATCACATTTTCCTCCGTCACAGAGACGGGTATCTCGTTGGTCACCCGCACCTCTATTCCAACTGTCTGTAAAACGACGTGAAATAAAAATGACTTTCTAATTCGATCATCCGATAATCTTTTGATCGATTAATAATAAGGTCATTCAAAGACTTCCTTAAAGCTTCTCTTTGACAAATATTTCATGTATACATATACGTATACATATACATATACAAACATTATTAAAGAAATCGTTGCCACGTGAGGGTAAGAAAGAATCTACTTGGGGGAAAAAAGCTTTGTGATCCTTTATTGATACCGTGATTCTTCGTTCGACCGGGAAAATCATTGACGAAAAAGGGGGAGAGAAAAAAAAGAAAAAAGAAAAAAAAAAGCCAAGAACAAATTTGATCAAGCGTAATCCCAACTTCGTAGTCCGATAATATAAAAAAAAAAGTCAAAACCGATTGCCTGTCCGACAGGATGATGGACTACTTCTTGATGGTAACGTGAAAATAAAGCACTTTTATACAGGGACAAATAGGATGTTCTCTACTTGATGGACGATTAACGCTCGCCTTTTGACGACCAATTTTCTATCCACTTTAGAAACGAAAATCAGATATTTTATTTTCCGATATTTTCCATGGTATTTCTTTTTTAATAAGTATCGGTCGGTCTACTCTTATTCTTCGACCGTGCGCAACCTGTTGACTCCTCTATACCTTTCCACGATGAACGAAGCAACAACTGATACTTTAAATTTAACAGCATTAACGTTTAATTACATCACGATCGATTTTGTAATTATAAAGAGAGATGGGCTTACTCATCGTTTAAGCAGTAAAATAGAATTCTTATGGAAAATACGAAGCCATCGTATTTTCCATTAGCTCAAACGTTACGTTGCGATGGAAACATATATTTAAAAGGAATTAATGTTGCCGCATTCCACGAAAGATACCGCGTATTAAAACGATGTCTAGAACTGTTGCCGCACATAAATTAATAAATTAAAAATCGCAGATGGCATATATACATATATATACACACATACACACATACACACATACACATACACACACACACACACGTGGCACGCGTATATCTATATGTATATAACTTGATCATTCGACGAAAACTGAACGCTAAAATATTGGATTTTATCTATGAAGCTTGTTTTTCCAATAGTGTACATATATATATATATATATATTTTTTTTTTATACGCATTTTTGCATTCTATAGAAATAGTATTGATTTAAATTGAACGAGAGAATTGAAAAAGCAACCAGCCATGCTTTTCTTTCAACGTATGCGTCCGTCCATCCACTCTTGCATCTATACTTACACACAATTCGTTATCTGCACATTCGTATACGTACTCTCGTCGTTTGTTTTAAAGCATTCAAAACTCATCAATATTTTTTTCTTTTTTTACCGCAGACTTTTAAATCGTCGACCACGTAACCTCGAAGGACACTCGTAACGGCGATAAGTATGACAGCTGTTTCTTTTTTTTTTTCTTTCTTTTTTTATTTTTTTTATTTTATTTATTTATTTTTTTTCTTTTTTTTTTTTTTTTTTTATTTTTACAGACGAAAGGAAAAGCAATATTCTAATCGAGTTAAGCTTGTATCCAACGTGAGTTTTCGTGACTTTTCCTCTCCCGCTAAATGTTACAATACTTCTCAATTTCGGAAGAGTTCGATTAATCGGGAAGTAAAAAAGGAGAAAAGAAAAATAAAAGGAAAAAGTAAATAAATAAATAAAAATAAATTCTCCACGTGATCCGAAATTTCAAAGAGGTGATTATCGGAAGGCACGGTACAAATGCAAATACTACTCTTCTTTTCGAGCAAATAAAAGCAACACCATGACCGAACACTTTCCTATATCTATTTCTTTCTTTCTCTCTCTCTCTCTTTCTCACACACACACACACATACACATACACTCTCTCTCACTCACTCACTCATTCACTCTATCCGCTTCTCTTTCTCCACAATGCATCCCGGTAAATATTTATTCAGGATGTAGAGCCGTTCTATTGGTCTATGTCGAGTATACACCTTAATTGCATATCGATCGACGCCTTTCCACCGGCTTAACCATCTTTTACTCTCTCCGTGGGACTTTAGGATTTTGAAGGAAGAGAAAAGGATACTAATAATAACCGTTATTCTTGTTTAACGTGTTTATCGTGTCAAGTATATACGTACGCGCGTACGTACATACCTATATATACGTGCGTGCCTGCGTGCGTGCGTGCGTGTATGTATGTGTCTATGTGTGTGTGTAAATTCCTAGGGGATATACATATAAATTACTAGGGGAAAAAATGATGAGCTTCATTGAATCTTACAATCACATTTTTGCTTAAACTTTAACGCTGATATGGAAGCAAATCGGACACTTGTTATATTATAAGGAAGTAAATAAATAAGAGAAAATAAAGAAAGAGAGAGAGAAAAAGAGAAAGAAAGAAATTAAATGGTTAGGCTAGGAAGATCAACGAAACGCTTTGCATATTTTATTCTAAGTCGTTCCAAGCTAATGAATCCCTTTTAATCCGCACTCTTTCGTTTTCCCCTATCAAGAAGCTCCGCAGGTTATTATCCGAAAATTAGGCAAGGTAGGGTGTTTAATCAGACGAGAGTAACATGGAGACTTTCACCATTCTTCCTCCCCGTGCTATCGCTGACTTGTGAAGAGAAAAAAGAATAAAAAAAGAAAAAGAAAAAAAAGAAAGAAAAGATGGGAGATCAAGAAAAAAGGGGGAAAGAATAAGAATAAGAATAAAAAGAAGAAGAAAAAGAAGAAGAAGAAAAGGATAAAGAAAGGGAGGGAGTAAGAAAAAAAATAGGAAAAAAGAGAAAAAAGGAAGAAAAAAGAATGAAGGGATGCATGCCACCCTATCCCCGAAAAAAATTCTTAAGGAACGAAAAATTATTTATTCTATGCTCGTATCCCTTTCCCACTTATACTCCTGCTTCCTCTTCCTTATATTTTTTCTTTTCTTTTTACGCCTCTTCTTTTCCCTTTTTCCTTTTCGTTAGCATCCCTTTTTTTCTCTCCCGCGAGTCCAATTCCACTTTAGCATACTATATCAACTTTAACTCATGAAAAAAAAAAGAAACCGCTAAGTGTCGAGGGGTTGACTGGTTACTTGCCGACATTCTATTGCCGATAAAAAAAAATTTGAATAATTTGTTCATTAAATGAGAAAAAGATTTTAGCTACACTATTGATATTTATTGCTACCGATGAACAAAAACAATATCGCTTGTACGAAAAACCTGGATTTTATTAAATCGCTTTCTGCCACTTTCCCTCTCTCTCTCTTTCTCCCTCTTTTTATTTTCCCCTACCGTCAATTATCGAGGAGCATCGTTGGTGAGTACATAAAAAGAGTACGTTGGTATCATTGTACCAATAAAGAAATCAACTGTCAGATAAGGAAAACGTATTTTTTTGGCGACAGATAACGAACTACATGCTGTTAACCCTTCAACTGGCGTCCTGTGAAAAAAAAAAAGAAAAAAATGATCTCTCTCTTTCTCTCTTTTTCTCTTCGATCTTACTCCAAAAAATCCAATAATTCTTCTTCTATCAATTTTCTTCTTTATTATTTATTTGTATTTTTATTTTCTTTTTTACTTCTTTTTTCTTTTTTTATTCCTTGTTTTTTCCAAAGATATCTAAGAACGAAAGATTTCAATTAATCTTTTGCCATTGACATCGGTTGGATTTTCAAACTGGAGATAAAGACTGTAATAAATTTTCTATCTCAAAAAGTTCCTATAAAAATATACATCTGCGCAATATTATGTACACTTATAACAAAATTACTCGAAAAAAATGAGATTTATAGACGTCACGTAATAAAAAAAAAACCGCAAGAATCAGTCATTTCTTTTGATGCTTTGAAACGATAAATAATTCGTGAGAAATAACGAATGAAGAAAGAAGAATTATTCGCGGGTTTAATCGGCCACGTGATAGAGAGAGAGGAACTTAACTACGTTACACAAACGCGGATAAGATTGACGTGTAAACATCGAAGCTGATAAAAAGTTAGAAGAGTACACTCAGGATTACATGAAAGATTAAAGGTACCAAGTAATGTATCCATAGAAATCTTTTTTAAATTAAGGATATATAATGTATAAATGCATCTGCTTTATTCATATCTGTTTCTCATATCCCTCTTTCTCTCTCTCGCGTTCTCTCCTTCAGTCTTGTCGAAAAATCGATAAACTAATAACGCAAGCTATGCATGTATTATCATCTGGATGATTAACAAAAGGTCAACTCCCAATTATAAAATACTCTTAGCTTCTCCTATGGGAATTCGATGGACTCTTTACGATTTAAAAAAGATAGAAGGATTTGGTAACGGGTATATAAAGGTATGCGTTATGCAACTTCATATATAACATAAAATAATTACCTTATATTTGATGACACGAAATCACTCTCTCGTTTGTCAAATTCTCTTATTTGTTATAAAATAAAATTCATTTTAGATACATGACATTCTTTATCTATCGATTCATTTCAAAGTAGATTGAAAAGTTTTTTCCTAAGTTTCGGAACTTCTCAAAATCCAGCTCGGATTTCTTTATGGATAATCATATTATCGTTTCGAAAGGCTAGACCTTTGTGCGTAAGTCAAGAAGAAAGTTTGAGAGTGATATTAGAATCCAACTTGGCCGGTTCGTTACTTTCAAAAGTAAGTATCGGCATGTCTGTACAATGTTCCGAGTGAAATATTAACTTTGCGGTAAGATTCGTTTCTCGAATGGAAAGTAAAAAAGAAAAAAAAAAAAGAAGGAAAAGAAAAGTCGAAGATTCTCAGTGTTCTTGAAATTTTAATTGTCGAGAGCACACGAGCACACGTGTATATATACTTGGATAGCCTTAGGAAACAGCAGTACAATTCTTTAAAAATCAATAATAGCAAAAAAGAACATAAATTTTGTTTACTCTCTCTCCTTTTTCTTACTCTTATCTCCAAATGTTTATATATATATATATTTGCTGATGTACTTTTAACAATAAGAAAAATTTTAATGGAATATTCTCCGCAATATGTTACGATGTATTTCGAAATAACCAAAGAAAGCAAATTGAATCGTAACGCATGACAAGATTCAGTATTGTTGGAAATGACGTTGGACAGAACTGAAGATTTCTATACGATGAGAGAAGACCACAGCGATAAATGTCAAATAAAATATCTCAGAATTCTGTAACGCATAGTTACATTCTGTATCGTTGCAAATCTATTATATACTATATATGATTATATTTCTCTAATGGAATAGCGAGAATTATGGTTGCGTATAATCGCCCAACGGTGATATAGTTACAATATATCACAAACAATCTTCTATCCTTAGACTCGGGAAATTTCCTGAACACATGTAAGATTAAATTAAATGATTTAAATTCGAATCTTTAACGACAAGTGAGTTATCGATTAGTTTTTCGATTCAATCGAAGAAATTTCAAAGGGAATAATTAAAATTATACACAATAAAACGATTCATCTCTCAAGTTTTTCATTTTTTAGAAAATTTAGAAATAGAAACCGATCGAATATTAAAATATTGTATATAAATGGAGACAAGAGAAACCGTCACATTTAATGGCTTTCCTATTGTAATTTTCTCAAAATGATCCTCTATTCGAGGTAGTGAAAAGGATTTCCCTTAACGACGCTATATAACGATATATAACGATTATTCCAACGATATATTATACGCTAGCTTTCTATGAGAAAATAAATGCATTAATTAGGAATGATTGAGCGCGTTTGAGCCGAGATACCAACCATTTTCATCCTGATCGGTTTTACTCCATTTCGCGATTAAACTACAAAATTTGAAGATAAATGAAATTAGTAACCAACATATTGCATATAGAAAGGATTGTTCGTAATCGTTTACACACAAGCACGCGTCATTCACTTTATGACGTATGTACATTTTCTTTTTTTTCTTTGTCCTTGCAACTCATAACAAACGCCCAAACTTGAACAGTAATAAATAAATGAATTAAACTTATGAACTTATTTTAAAGAATAATCGTACATCATTACGATTAAAATAAGCTATCAGTGAAATTACGGAAGTACACAGGATAAACATGAATTCTAATATGTAACATGCTTTAACGTTCGTTCATAAATATCTTATTGCTTAGTTGCACGTGGCTAAATATGAGGAAAAAATATATTCCGAGGGCGTAGAATGGCATATTAGAATGGTGATAAATAAGGAAAAAAATAATAATAGTAAAAAATGAAAAGAAAAAAGAATAAAAATAAGAACAAAATAATAAACAGAGCGTAAATACTATGCAAACGAAGGAACAACCGTGCTATATACTGTATAAAGTAAAGGGTAAATGTGAAAACAAAAAGAGCTATCCTGCATAAAGGGAACCCGCATTCGTGCGTGTTCTACAAAAGCATGAGAAAGAAATGGATGTTAAAAGAAAAATGACGAAGAAGGCGAAAAGCCATCAAAGATGTTAGTTTGAGCATACTGAAGAATTCATATTGATTTCAATTATATAATTCTTCATTATTATCTCGTCGATGTTTGACGTCAATTAAAAAAACGAAATTATCACCATACGGATCTATAAGTATTCGCACAAAGTATTTCTTATATATTCATCTTTTGACTTATTTACGTATCTCTATAAAAATAAAAATAAGAGTGAGCTAAACTAAATTAATAATAAAAATCCTCACGGTATAAAAAATAAT